GGCGTTCCATTTTTAATAATTCTGTTTATATTTATTTATTTCAGTAAAAAAAATACTTTAATATTTAGTTGAATGATTTTTTTTAGTTGGACTAGATAAATTAAAAGTAGATAAAGTTACTGCAGTACATGTATATTTAAGATTTTATAGTTCTTTAAAAACACAGACTTATTTTAAAAAAATGTTTATTATATAAAATAATTACTCTTAAAATGAATTATTCAAAAATTGTCATAGCGAAAAAGCAGCCACTTATAATTATTTATTTAACCGTTTTTGAGATTTGGCAAATTTTCTATATAATATGGAATTGACTATATCTCAAAAACTGCTCTACTTTCATAACTTTTGATGGTATTTTTAATTAAGCCAACAATTTCACATAGGAATTGACTATTAAATATTCGGGATACAAATTGCTTTAGTGGCTGCTAATATACCGGTATCCTTTTATATATGAGTATCTTTTTGTTTATTTGAAGAGATACAAGGGGCGTAATAACAACTATATTAAAATGGAGTTTAAAAATTCTGAAAAAAATCAGCGGTTCTTAAATAATTTAAAAAACTGAAATCCTGTCTAAACCAAAACTCGTAATAACTAAGTTTCCCATTTTCATCCAATTTGTGATTTTTTCGCTAATTTAACCGACCTTGTTGCTCTTCTAATAAAAAATATATAATTTATTATATTCTTAAATATCTTATTAACACGAAATAGCTAATAAATTATGCTCTTCTAATAAAAAATATATAATTTATTATATTCTTAAATATCTTATTAACACGAAATAGCTAATAAATTATATAGGCCAACAAATAAATTATTTAAACAAAACACATGTTATGATTTTCCTTGCCTAACCTATTATTTATAAAATAATAAGAGACAAATCAGGTTACAATAGAGGAATGGGCAACATTGACACGGACAGATTTGGGTATTTTTAAGAAGATGCGCCAATGTGGGTTAGGTACGACCTTTTTATATTTTATTTTTAATCCAACCCATTTGCAATACTTTCAATTGTGTCAGGTTTTAAGATCTTGAAGGCAGTGGCGGCCCGTCAGGGGAGGCAGGTGAGGCAGTGCCTCATCATAGAGAATTAAAAAATTAAGTATAATTTAAATATTTTACTTTCTATAATATACTATAAATTTTTAATATTTGGATTACATGAATTGTGAAATAGTCAATAAAATGGATTGATTTTATACGTGGAATACCCAGCAACATTTAAATTATTTGAATTTGAAACGACCGCAATTTAAACTAATATTTATAGCTAGATGATTGCCTCAGATGCATGTCTGAACTAATTTAGACTCACGATTGGCGTTAGCCTTGTTGTCTCGTTCTATTACAATGCGATATCAAAGTTGTCTCCTTCTCTCGTATTAGCATACGCGAGGCAGGCACGCCTACATCCAAGGAAATAAGCAGGTGTTGTGGCAACATTGTTGCGGAATTTTAGATAAATTATACTTCACACGTTTTTCAAAATTCAATAATAAATTTTTCTTATAATAAATCGATTTAATCGAAATTGTATTTCTATTCTAAAATAAACATATTTTAACACTATCGCCATCTTATAGCCATCACAGTAACCAATAAAATAAATACAGATTCCTTCTTTAGGTTTGTTTTGGTTATAAAATTCTGAACTGTTTAAAGAACAAATCTGTGGTTATTTACGCAATATTTTTTTTATTCTTTTTCTATGAGTTTGTCTATTTAATTATTCTTTTGTAAGTGGTTTATTCTGTGGGTTTAGTTAATTGATTGTGATTTATGTAAATTAAGTCATTATGGATATTACGGTGAGAAATATTTACCAATATTGTTGATGGTGTACTATTATTAATTTAATGATTAGTGCTTAAACCTAATGGTTATATTAATCATGCTGCACTTTACCTCTACACCTTCACGTGGTTCTTGCTGAACAATGAAATATTAATTAGTCAAAAATGAGGTTTATTTAAAATAAACGTCATTTTTACTATAAAATATATTTTATTGACAAAGTAGAGGATTCCTTCCCCACCACAGTCTAAGTTTTTTACTTAGTTTTAAGTATAGGTTGTGAACTGCGACATCAGTTTTTTTAAGTTGGGTTTAAAAAAATTTCTTCGCCTTTAAATGAGGGCGAAACCCTGCCTCTGCCTCACCAAAATGAAATGTCACGGGCCGCCACTGCTTGAAGGGCCAAACCAAAACACTGAAAACCTTTCGTTTAAAAGTTGTCGATTACAAGGACGCTTAAAAATTAAATTATGTTTAAATATGCTTTTGTTTCGAATTACAGATTTTAAATATAGTAATAATAATAATAATAATAAACTTTATTGGAAAATCCAAATGGCTAACGACTTATGTATTCCTGCCCTTTTAAAAATATTTTAATTTTTCTGTAATAATATTTTACATGCACACTGTTTATAAACATAAATGTAAATTTGTGTTTAAATCAAGAGCATCGTTATTTTTTCTATTTTTGGCACAAGGATTTTATTAAATTGTTTATTATTAATTATGCTTATATATTTTTTTTAATATTGTAAAATAAATAATTTTTTATAATTATGTAAATTATTTTATTAAAAAAAACTCTTAGGTAGGTACTTTAATATAACATATTATTGTTTACCTTGTATCAATTTAAATTAATTAAGAAATCAATATATAAATAAGAATACTATTGGTTTTTAAATATTCAAATGTCATCATCTTGTTATACTATATGCTAACCTTTATTTTGACCTTAGTTTTTAAACTGTATTTATGATAAATACGCTATACAACTTCCGTTTTAAGGAAATAAATATTACCATCAATTTACTAAATAAATATTTGTATTTGCATTCGTTTATTATTTTCTAATGTTTATTTTAAGTACTCCACTGGTAAAAATGGTCTTAAGAAGTTCATATTTACCTGCCATTAATACCTTATTAGGCCGAATTTCCATATCGCCCACTGTTGTAAAAATGTTTAATCAGAATTAATTTTTATTGTGGTGTTCCTGGTAAAGCCAACAAGATATCGACTTTGATAATATATTACTTTATCAAATTTACAATATAAAGTTGGCATTTAACGTCAGTGCACTGATATTTATATAATAAGTTATAAATAATAGTTCACATGGCGTTCAACGTGTATTATAATATAAAGTACTGCAAATTAGTAAGTTTATATTACACAATTATTTATTATATTGAATGGTATATTTTTTAAGAAACAAATAAAGCTTTACATGCAGTCCGGTATGGATTTTAAATTTAATAAAAATTATAAGCTAAAATAAGTTTAAAAATAATTCAGACATTTTAAAAGGTTGTGTATTTTGGTACCTAATAATTTTGACACGCCAACCTTATTAGTTTTTTTTATCTTAAATAACAATAAAATTAAATCACTCTTACTGGTTTTAGAATTGTTATTTATTTTATTGAACCGCGCATATTTTTAGGTTTGTAAAGTAAAAAAAATAAAAATTAAATTCGTTGTAAGCACAGTTAATTTAGAATAATTTATAATTAATAAATACACCGGCCCACAATGCCATGATATTCCTATTAGGGAATACAATCTTGCAGGAAAATGTACAATCTTGGTATGGCAAGATTTAAGAGGTGTAATCTCGCAAGATCTCAGTATTTTGCGAGATCTCGCAGATTTAAGATTAATAAAAAAAGAAATTAGTATAATTATTTCTATTACAACTTTGTTAGGTTATATCGTAAAGGCAAAATAATGAAAATATAAATTCCACTTATTACTCTATGGACCAATCAGATTTCAGAAAACGTTTTTTCAGTGTTGCAGCGATAAAACGACTACCTATTTAGGTAAAAACACTCGTTTATACGACCAACCAAAATAATTGTCAATGTTGACGTTTCTAATTTTAAAATAAAAATGTCAAAAAATATCGGCAGTTAATTCTAATTTTAAAAAAATATTCGTGAAATAGCCTTGCCGAATACCACTCGTAATAAAATTTTCCCTGAAAAAATTTTATCGGTAAAATTTTACCACTAGTGGTATATAATAATATTATATCCGAATAATCATCAAGCCATTGAAGCAAAAAGCATAAACAAGACTAAAATTATGTATTGAAAAAACTATACATTATTTTGAAAATGACTTCTCAAAAAAGACAAAACACACATGGAATGCGCTGCTTCCTAATCTCGCAAATCTTACGAGATCGCGCATGATTTTCGTGCAAGACTAATCTTGCAGAATTAGTGCGAGATCTTGGTATTTCCCTAATTCCCTAATTCCTATGTATTTTCGCCCGCTCAAACTGAAAGTAAACTTATTTTGTAGTGGACCGTCGGATTTTTAAAAAAAGAAATATTGTGGGACTTTTTATAATCATTAATTATAATTACCTATTTATCTATTAAATAATTTTCTGTTCGATAATTTTTATTTTTATAAAATATTGTCTTAAATTTTAAATTTTTCTAAAAATTTTACAATAATGTTTATATTATTACACTCATACGTCTATATAGAAAGACTTCATATTATCACACGACATGTCAATATACCTAATAATATAAAAAAATATTATAATTAATAATATTTCGTAATTAAATTTAAGTATTCAGAGATACACATCGAAAAATTAGAGCATTAAAACAAACCTAATTTGTGGATTTAGTACACTTTACCTCTCAGGTACAGATTTAAATTAAGGTATACCAAAAACATTATTTTTAAGTAAAATAATTAAACAAATATTAAATTGATAATCTAATGTTTAAAAGGATTCAGACATTTTAATGGATTATAAATGAGTTAGGAAGATAAGCTGTATTTAAAAGTGACTGGTACTGAATAAGTACAAGATTCCGGACCAAACATTACTTGCTCATAGGCTGAATAGGTTTATGACTTTATAAACTCTAAATAATAAAATAAATATTTTTGTTAAAAACCTAGTTTTAAAGTAAAAGTCTTGTTATATTTTTTTCAGATAGAGGAGGGTGAGCGCGGCCGAGAGATGACCGCGTCCCTCGATACAGGCGACAACCATCACGGCGACGCTAACCGCCATCAAAATGACAACGGCGTGTTCACAGTATCAGTAACAGGTGGTTACGACAATGAGGCCTACAAAGGCGGCGACGGAGACTATCCGCCAAAGAAACCTCCGAGGGAAATCACGGACGAAGAGGCTTCTCAACAAGGAAAATTTAAATTGTCCCGCAAGGAGAAATGGAGGATATTGAAAAACGTATCGGCTGTGTCGTGTGCCTTCATGATCCAATTCACTGCCTTCCAGGGAACGGCAAACTTACAGAGCAGTATTAATGCTAAAGATGGACTTGGTACAGTGTCTCTTAGTGCAATCTATGCAGCCCTCGTTGTTAGTTGCATTTTCGTGCCCACATTTTTAATTAAGAGGTTAACAGTGAAATGGACTCTTTGTGTGTCAATGTTGTGTTATGCTCCATATCTGGCGGCGCAATTCTATCCAAAATTTTATACCCTCGTACCTGCCGGCGTTATCCTCGGTATTGGAGCGGCGCCTATGTGGGCCTCCAAAGCCACCTATCTTACACAAGTGGCAGGAGTCTACGCCAAACTCACGGACCAAGCCGTCGATGGAATAATTGTCAGATTCTTTGGATTCTTCTTTTTGGCATGGCAAACTGCTGAATTGTGGGGAAATCTTATCTCTTCTTTAGGTAAGCTTATTTTTACTAGATCTGTAGAAAACAAACCTGACAATACAATTCATTAATATTAAATCAAATGAAATGCCAGAAATCCATATTAACGCATTTAATCAAAGCGACAATATTTTGTATCACATCATTCTTAAACACTAAAAGATCGATGGGATGGTGTAAACGATAAAGAAATTAAGGCAAGTTTGATTAAAAGATGTTTAATAAAGTATTTTTATATTTTAAAGCACTGACAATTCGTTATATCCTTAGATTCATTATATTTTCTCGCTAAATATAACTCGTGGTATGATTCATAATCAATATTATTTTTTCATTAAAACCAAAGCAGAACATTACACTAGTCCTGCGGACTCGTGAAATCTGTAGCTCCGTTTCAATTCGAAAATATCATCGTTGATAATCATACCACTGAGCAAAAATGTGTAGGTAGTCTTGGTTTGGTCACTATCAAGTAAAATTAGAGGTAGTATGTACATTGTTCCACGACAAATCGAACCCTTTTTAACCCAATCCCTTTTTATTTTGCTGAATTTTTTATGTTATACAGTATAACATAAAAAATTCAGCAAAATAAAAAGGGATTGGGTTAAAAAGGGTTCGATTTGTCGTGGAACAATGTACATACTACCTCCAATTTTACTTGATAGTGACCAAACCAAGTAGTAGTAGTAGTAGTATAACTTATACTACCCACCTAAAACGTTTTCGTGTTACTCAACCGTTTTTTAACAGTGCTTTTGCTCATACGTTTTTTTAAAACAGAGTAATGGAGATTAATCGTACTTTTTAGAAAACAGCCTTTAGTCATTGCAACATTTTTTATTTTTATTTTTTTAACTTCAATTTTTTCTGCGTTTAATGACTCAAATCGCCCATAGTGGATCAATTTTGTTTTTTTGAAAAGTAAATTTAAAAGCGAAAAATTAGAAAAAAATTCCAAATACCTACTCTCTTAAAATGAATGAGTCAAAATAACAAAAATGCAGGGCTGGCAAATATCATGATATTTATATAAATATCCGATATATATCAAAATTTGGATATTTTTTTCTTTTTTTTTTATTATAACTATTTTCTGCTTAGAGAGTTAAAGATATATGTTTAAAATTCAAAATAACTTAATTTAATATAATTTTAAAATTTTATAAACATGTAAATTTGCATTTCAATTCTATTCTATTCAATGAAAGTTGCTATCACAATAAAAAGTTTTATTAGTACTAGTATGTATATAAATATAAAATGTAGGTATAAGTTCATGATTACAAACACATCATATATTTTTGCTTTTGCAACTACAAACAAAAAATTACAAACAACATACAATAGAAAACAACAACTAAAATAATATGTTTAATAAAAGCAAAAAACAGCCAAACCCAATCAAGATCACATTTCTTTAAATGGTCTCTGTTGCGCAAAAATTGTTTTGTTTTATAAACTTTTGTTTTACAGTTTATTAGTTTTCTTTGATAACACGCTAAGATTGTTCTTGCGCCCCACATCTCATTCAGGCTGCTTTGACAATTCATTTTGAGGGTGTACGTAGAATTTATGCTGAAATAGATGTGGGGTACATGAACAATCCTAGCGTGTTATTAAAGAAAACTAATAAACTGTGAAACAAAAGTTTATAAAACAAACAAATTTTTTAATAGCCTTCCATATTAAAAAAAACACAATTGAAAGAACAAGATGACTTGTAAAAACTTCTAAGATCAAGACCACCATAACCTCGCTCTTGCTTGTAACTAGTATACCTAATAATAATTATTATTATACACATTGTAGACTACAAATTATTTAATTGCTTAAATCATTTTGTCGATTGATAGCTTTTTTTAAATAAACTAATTTCATATTTAAACCTTATATTTATTGTTTATTTTTCACATTAAATATGTTAATACGAATACTATAAGAAAAGTACACACTCTATTAATTAGAATAAAACTTGATAATGTTGATAATTTGTTAAATCAACTTACATTTTAAAAAACTCTTTATTTAAATATTAACTATCACCTAAATATTTTTAAAATTATTAATCAAAATGTTTATTTTTATTAATAGTATTGCAAATATCTAATAATACACACTTTTATAAATGTACTTGATGATTCAAAGCTATTTGTTTTTAATTGGCCATTCATTTTATATAAAAAATAATAGTTGTTAAAGCTAATGGACAAATTTGCCTGAAGATAAAACTTAATATTACAAAATTAATCAACCATGTTTTTTTACATTTCACTTTAATAGAAAGAAATATCTTCCTGTTTACACACTTTTATATTTAAAATTTGATCAGGTGTTGAGCAAAAATATATTTTTTTATTAGTAAATGTACAAAAAATTTTAATTATATAGTGGACTATAGTGGACAAAGCTAAAACATATGTTTTAAGTGCATTGGCACAAATTTCCCATATCACCGCTGATAAGTAAGTTCAATGTTTTTTATTTAGAAACATACATTAAAATACAAAGTTCTTGTTTACTTATTTATCAAAGTTTAAAATCTAAATTGAATATAATTGACCGCCTATTTTCATATAAGTTAAAATAAATAATAAAATGATTACAAAATTTATTGGTTTATTTATTTATTTCATATTATAATTTAAAGAGGCTATGTGTATGTGTATTTGTTATGTAAGATAATTAATATGAATTAATATACATTAACAAATTAAACGTTTTGTAATCAATGCCAAATTAAAAATTAGTTTCAGTATAAGCACATTGCGAAATATGGAGGTTTAAGATAATTTGTTAAGGACATTGAAATGCGGGCTTATAGGAAAGCTGCATGACCTGCTAAATGGTAACAATAAACCATATGCAACAGTTTTTTCCTGTGAAACATATCTATGATTATGTAAATTTCAAGAACATATACCTGTAAATTGCAATAAAGGTGCACTAACCATATAATTTACCTTTAATCGCCAATAATACACAATTTTATATTTTCTAGTTACAAGGCAATCGATTTCATGGTTTTTAAAAAGTTTATCTATACTTAAATTTTATGCGAGTTTTATTTAACACTACACATTTACTATCTTGTATTAAAATACAATTTGATTTGGATAGTTTTAATTAAATTGTCAATAAACATAAGCAAAGAAATACAGACTGACAAATTTTACAAATATTACGTTTAATTTATTTTCCAAGTTGTGGAATTGTTTGTAGCTATCCCATACAAACGTTATTACGACTAAAATTTACCAAGAAGTTGCACTTTCTTTCAAGTTTTTTGAAAAGACGATTTAGGTTATATGATTTTTTACTTTAAGTTCTTGTTACTGCACTTGGGAGCAAATATGCTTGAGTTTTAATAGCAAGTTTGTCCACTACAATACTGCCGTACTAAGCTAAGGTACCGCATCTGCAATTTTAGGTAATAAAGAACTTAATTTTTATTGTTTTTAACCATTAAAATGCTCCTTTATTCTTTATTACCTAATATTGTACATACGGAAGTTAGCAGGGCAGAATAGCACTCCACATAAACATCAAAATATGTATGGGAAAAACTGTGGTTTTAAATGACACCACTTTGTTTTGAATTTGATATTATAAATATACAAAAAAAATATTTGGTTAAAATTATTATATTGTTTTTTTATATTTGGTATTGCCAACGTATGGAGTATTCCTTATTCGGCTTCGCATAGATCGGATGACACTTTGTAGCATACTCTGGAAAGATTTCTTCCAACTCTTCAATTAACGTCGTTCTTACTGAGAACTTCTTAGTTTCATCATTTTGCAGGATTTCTTCCGGACCTTTCGGTTAAGCTTATCCCAAATATAATTAAGCATTTAACACCCAGTTTTTTTAAGCTTTTAAACAGATGATTACGTGGAGTGCTAATGTAATGTGAAAGCGTCATTGTAATATCATCTTATTATAATAGGCCTGGCTTTAGGCTTATTGTAATATATTTACACTACAAAAGTAGCAAAAGTATGCATAAACTAAAACCCAACCATTGTTTGAGTCTATTCTTCCATATAATTCCTACACCTAGTCGTATTAAAAATGCCTAGGCGTATTATAATAAGCCTGTGACAGATACACGATTTTTTTGCTTCTAAATGCAAATTGATGAAATTTTAAAATATTCAAATGGTTATACAGAATATATTCTTTTTTATGTACTATTTCAAAAAATATATTTTAGTTTTAAGCAATCCTCATGGAAGCGGCAGCGACTCCGGCAACAAAACAGGCGGTTACGATGTGTGCGGCGCAAATTTCTGCGTTATGAGCAATCTTAACAATGACAATCTCGAAAGGCCGGCAGACAGTGAAATCTACGAGATATCCTCAATTTATTTGGCATGTATCGTAGCAGCCGTCGTCCTTATCGCCATCATGGTGGACCCCCTTTCAAGGTAATAATTTTGACATAAAAAACAATAATTTTCATATTATGAGACTGTGCTTAAAGCTTCAATTTTTTTTTATATTATACATATTTGGATGGAATTTTGTGAATACATTAATAATTTATAAAGTTATACGATAAAGTATTACGCATTTTAAACTAAAAACACATTTACAAACCACATTGTTTTAAATCAATCTTTGTTCATCATATTATTTATTATTTACAGTATATAAAATTTACAGTTGTAACCTTGACTAAGACTAGTTTTTTTCGTAAGTTTTTAAGAATCCTATTCAATTAAATAAATAATCTTTGGTTTTTTATTAGTGGATAACCCATTGTACAAAAAACTTGTTTTATACTTTAAAAACAAGTCATGATTTAAGCAATTAATTTTTTATCTTATAATGTATGGGATATAAGCTTATTACTTTTGACGAAAATTAAATGTCTGCTTATCGTGTAAAAATAAAATACGGACTAAAATTTAGTAAACATTTAGTAAATTTGGAACGCCAAAGTATTTTTGTATAAATAAATTTGGTAGACTTTTAATACATTTGGTAGACTGTTGAATGCGTATACGCATACCATATATGGTATTTTTTGTTAAAATAAATTCTGTAGATTTGGTAGATTTTGTGTAAACATAAATCACATATTTTATGTAAAAAAACATAGGTAGATATGTTTAAGTTACACAATCTATGTAATTTCACATCAGTTTACGAAGCTAACAAATAACCAACGACCAGTTATGTGAAATTTTTTCTCTGTGTTTGGTATATTTTGTTAAAATAAATTTTGTAGATTTGGTAGACTGTTAAATAATTTGGTAAACATTATAGGTATTAGACTTAACATAATATCATAATTTTTTACTTGCACATTGTGCAAGTCTTGTTACCGAAATTATGACTGTCCAAAACTTTGTTACGGCTAAACACCAAAATTGGTTAGTTTCGGATACTGATAATATTTTAACTAAAACTAAAATAAAAATAAAAATATGTTATTTTTTGACATTAACCTGTTAATGTCAAGAATATTATTTCTGTTCGCGTTGTATTATATGTATTATAAGTTGTATAATGTGTTATATCGATGGTTATTTGACAAAACATCGTATTTTATCAAAGTGTCATTTACGATAGGCTGCATATGTTAACATAATGGTTATTAATTTTGGAATCTAATATTGGTCAGTTAGAATATTTTTATTATTGTAAGCGCCTCTTTTTAATTTGTTACCGATTTATAACGTAAGCGCCTATATGTTCCCGACATATCGATGACTTTCTGCCAAAGTATCGCAAGCAACATAACTCAAATTTCGGGAATTGAAAACATTATTGTCTTAAAGTCTGTTTTAAATTAAATATAGCCTAAAGGATTTATAACAAGTAAATAGCTTATAATTATAGCTATTTACTTGTTATAAATCCTTTAGGCTATATTTAATTTAAAACAGACTTTAAGACAATAATGTTTTTAATTCCCGAAATTTGAGTTATGTTGCTTGCGATACTTTGGCAGAAAGTCATCGATATAATCGTAAGCAACTCCGAGACATGGCGTTTGCTATTTAACATTGTGTCGCTTACGATAATATTGTGCTCCCGCCTTGATCTATCAAGGCGATATTCCCGCTCTAAACAGTTTATTCGTGAGTATACCTGCATCGTGGTGATTGCTACTAAGTTTTAAAACAATATTTTATTTTATCAAAAGCTTATGTAAGCTTTATCCTTTTTTTCATTGCATTATTAAAAGTTATCCTAATTATAATTGTTTTTACGTAGTGTGGTTCGTTAAAAGTATGTTTTTATAGTAATTGTATGTTGTTATAGCGTCAAATAATTTGACTCAAATTTATAGCCTACACAAGGAGTCCGAACATCATGTAAACAATAATCTTCCTAAGATAAGAGGGCGCTGGTATTCCATTTATTCTGAAACAATTGTTTAATTTGTACCGAAACGCTAGCATCGACAATCAGCGCCGCTGGTGGTGAAAAAAAGAAACTTAATTTGTAGAGGGCAGGTTTTGTCAATTTCCCCTATTAAGTTCGGGCTCTTTGTGTAGGCTCCAAGGGTTAGATACATGTTAATAAAAATCGTTCGTTTTTTTCAAAGAAAGCTAATGTAGAATTTCATTTTTAAACATTGTTTGGCAAAATATCGTTGGTGATATTTTATAAATTAATTTTTTTGTATTTTTTTTATTTAATAATAAAAGTAAAAAAATAAATGGAACTTAAGCGACAAGACTAATTTTATATTTTCCTAAAGATGTTCTTATAAAATATCGCATGCCACAAAATTTAATGAAAATTTTAGATTGGATTGATCTTACTTAAATATTTGAATTATACATTAATAAAATAATGCCTCACCAGTTTTCAGATAAATAACTTTAAAAATAAAGCTCCCACACAAAAAAAATCTCTCCTGTATAATTTAGGTTTTGCGCTTACGATGTTTTGTCAAATAGCCATCGATATTCTTGTAATGATAATTATGCAACATTTTGTTTTTTTGAGTTGGCATGGTTTGATTTGGTAAACACAATATGTAAATGTAAGCTAATTAAAGTCCGTTTTGCGCCGAAAGTAAACGTATATTCGGATATTAGACTGGTTAATCTCGATATTAATATTTGATATTCAATATTTATAACTAAAAAATGTTGGTGGGTCAAAGTAGAAGACCTTATTTACTGCAAAATTGGTATCCTTAGGCCAAAATATACTTTTATCCTTGTCAATTAAGATTAACTGGATTTTCATAATTACGTATTTGAGGCTATTATCGATTTTAATTTAAAAGGACATGTCCTTATTTTGGTACCCAATCATTTCGCATTACTTATAAACTGTTAAGGGTAAATGTTTAATTAATTGCCTAGCTACGCAATAACTATTGCTTATAACACATAATAAATTTACGAAATGATTTTTATTTTTACTGATGAAACAAAATAATAACAACTATTAAACAGGTTTTAGAAATTTAAATTTTGTTCCACTTTTATTAGCAAACGACGCAAAAAAATAAATTTCACTTAAACAAGCCGTCAGTTTTGCAACGGATTTATAAACTTTTCAAGATAATCAATCTCAGACGCGTTCAACAAAATAAAACGCAAACGAAATTAGGATATTGGATGTTTTTTCGCGGCAGACCGAAATGTATTTGACATCCACCTTTCTCCGACCGAAGGATTTTGTATTCGTATAATTTTATTTCTTCAGCAAGGTCGCGTACTCCTGTGGAATGCGTTTAATTGCAGATTAACCAATGTTAATCATACAACAACGCTTATTTTATTATACTTATAATAAAAAGTTCAATGGAACAACCAAGATTCCTTTAATGTGATATTTTTATTAAGTTGCTTCAGTTGTTATTCTTAATTAATTATGGCAACATTTTTCACTTTAAAATTAATATTGTTGTGTATAAATTTGTTAAGAATATTCACCCGCTCATCCAATAATATTTATTTTAAATAATAGTTAGCTTATTTCTTAATTATTACTACTTTTTAGTTATATTATTAAAACATGCATTATATCGTTGACCTTAAAACTATCGGCCTTCTATTTACAGTTTTTACTACAAATGTATATTTAATATAGCAACTGGTTTCATCTACCTATTTCCTTTTTTATTGTTAGGATTTTTATTGTATTTTTTTCATTGACCTGTTTATTTTTTAAATACGTAGGTACTATTTTAAAATGTTTTCCAAAAAGCCATATATGTGAATGCTTATTAAAATTATTTATTTAATCGTCAGAATTTAGCAGATCAATGGGACTAACATACGACAAAGCTATATATTTTGGAATAAAACCTCTTAAAGTAAATATTCATTTATTTTAAGTTGATATTATACGTTTAGGTTTACTTTAAGTTCAATTCAAAACATTTTTTTTATATTGCTAAACATAAAGGAAAACTTAATTTTTAAGTAACAAATAAAACCAGAAAAAAATTGTTCAAACCAAATAATTAATGTAATATGTAAATCGGTTCCTATTGGGTGTATTTTTGAATTGTTATGCTCCCATAGGCTTAAACGCTTGAAACCCTTTATCAAATACAAGACTAACTGAGAAGACAATAGTAAAAGTATATTCGACTCAAGACCAATTCTCTCTAAAGAAGTCAAAAAACATAATACAGCTGTAGTATAAGAAATTAGCGGATTTAAAGTTATTTGTAATTTATAATTTGTTGGATATTACTTAACAACAAGAAGATATAAATTCAATTCTACTTTAATAGTTATCTTTAATAGCAGCAAAAAACTAAGAACTTTACCAAAAACAAAGTATTCCATTTATCGAATTTAAAAAGATGTAAAACCTAAGTTTTTAATAGTGCTGTGTCCCTGATGAAAAATGCGACTTCTTAGCGAAGGGATGTTGGACACTATGCGCTATGTAGCAAATGAACTCCAGTCTAGTCCATCCGTCATCTGCAGACTTTGGCGCAGAATCCAAACAACTGGTGGCTACTATAGAAGAACTGGACAAGATCGTAAACAAAAAACAACCGCTCAGGATGACAGGTACATCGTTACATCTTCCCTTCATCGATGCACTGACTCTGCTACAAAACCTTCTTCAAAATGCAAACGGCGCGTATATTCCTGATCGATTAAAGGAAGCTAATATGACATTGCATGGACCTGTGTGAGTTCTTTGTTTAACAAGAGGCCATAAAATCGCTCTCCTATCGTTTGCTCGCGGCCATGTGCAATCGCAACTTCGGCATTGGATATTCATGGTTTACCCTTACTCGGTTCGATGGCTGTATGAGAGTGTACAGATGTCCTGGAGCCACCGTACAATAAATGGACAGGTTAGGAGGCAGCTCGTCGTTACCCAACGTTTAAACGCCAGAATTTTTGTCGATGCCATACTGCAAGAACATATTCTACCTCTTGCCAACAATGTCGAAGGTGAATTCATTCTACATTCTAGGTAATTGTAG